AGTATCATGCATGAATGAGTTCTGAAGAGCGAATGATATTCCTTTTTCTTGTCGATATGACCTCACAATGCAAAATCAATAAAGCTGAAGTAAATTGGCAAGGCATTGGATGATGGTGGTCCTTCCGAGCAACTGAAACGGAGGTTCTCTACAGATTCTACTGCGCCATCCTCCCAACAAGATTCACAAGACAACGCAAGGCTAGACAGTCAACGTAGTTGTGTAGATGATGAGCACATCTCCCCTACTCCACCATCAGAGGTGCTTGCTCTAACTTGGCACTATTATATGTGGTTCCATGTTGTGTATGATGTCTAGCTTGTATTGCTTCTAATTTTGTTGAATTGCATCTGCTTACTTTACACATAATGCCTGTGAATATGACATGTGTTCCTGTTTCTACATCAGACTACTATTCTTGCATATCCCGCATCAGTCACTTATGATAAGGCACCTTTAAGTCGCCACTATGATATTGGTTGTGTCTTGCATATGATTTCTAGCATATACTGCTTCTAATTTGTTGAAACGCCATATAGTTTGAATTTGGCAGAGTGATATTGGTTGCATCTTTCATATGGTGTCTAGCTTGCAGTGCTTCTAATTTGTTGAAATGCCTTCTGCTTAGTTACCACATCATACGTGTGAATATGTCACACCATCCTATTTTTCATACATATTCCATCCTCGCATCATGTGTTTGCCTTTCATACGAGTAGTGTACGTCAGTATCATGCATGAATGAGTTCTGAAGAGCGAATTTTATTCCTTTTTCTTGTCGGTTTGACTTCACAATGCAAAATCATTATAGCTGAAGGAAATTAGTCTAGCAGTGGATGATGATGGTCCTTCGGAGCAACTCAAACAGGGGGTCTCTACAGATTCTACTCCGCCATCCTCCCAACAAGATTCGCAAGACAACACAAGGCTGGACAGTCAACGTAGCTGTGTAGATGATGAGCACATCTCCCCTACTCCACCATCACAGGTGCTTGCTCCAACTTGACACTATTATATGTGGTTGCAAGTTGCGTATGATGTCTAGCTTGTATTGCTTCTAACTTGAATTGCATCTGCTTACTTTACACATAATGCCTGTGAATATGACACGTGTTCCTGTTTCTAGAACATACGTGTACACGATGAGCACATCTTCCCTACTCCACCATCACAGGTGCTTACTCTTACTTGGAACTGTTATACGTGGTTGCGTTTTCCGTATGATGTCTAGTTTGTATTGCTTCTGAATATGTTGAATTGCATCTGCGTAGCTTACAACTTATACCTTTAATGATCACTTACCCATAAGACACATTTAACTTGGGACTGTGATGTAGGTTGCATCTTGCATTGTCTTCTAACTTGTACTGCTTCTAATTTCTTGAAATGGCACTTACGACGAGACACTTTTTACCTGATAAAGTGATATTGGTTGCATGTTTATATGGTGCCTAGCTTTCATTTCTTCTAATTTTGTTGAAATGCCTTCCGCTTACTGTTTTTTCATACATATTCCATCCTCCTATCATACGTGTGAATATGACACGCTGTCTTTTTTTGTATATATTACATCCTCCTGCGCTTGCCTTACATCAAAGTAGTGTTCGTCTGTATCATGCATCAACCAGTTATGCAGAGCTAATTTTATTCATCTTCTTGTGGTTTTGACTTCATAAGGCAATATCAGAAAATAGGAAGGAAAAGAGTAAGTTAGGGGATGTTGGTGGTACTCCGCACCGACGCAAACAGAGACTCTCTAGATTTGCCACTACTACTGCTAATGAAGTTGAAGTCCCAAGTCTACATGATGAGTTCATCTCCCGCACTCCACCATCGCAGGTGCTTGCTCTAAGTTGACAGTGTGACAATTAGTTTCATGTTGCATATGTTGTCTAGCCTGTATTTCTTCTATTTTGATTAAATTGCACCTGCTGAGTTTATACGTTATACATGTGCATATGACATGGCTTTCTGTGTCTAGAATACACTGCATCTATCTATCATACCATGTTCTTACATCAAAGTACTGCTGTTGTGTATCCCGCATCAGTAACTCATGATTGGATGCTTTTAACATGGCAGTTTGATACTGGTTGCATCTTGCATTGATTTCTATGTTGTACTGCTTCTAATTTTTCGAATTGCCACTTATGACAAGACACTTTTAACTTGGCAGAGTAATATTGGTTGCATCTTTCATATGGTGTCTAGCTTGCATTACTTCTATTTTCTTGAAAATCCTTCTGCTTAGTTTGCACATCGTAGATGTGAATATGTCATGATGTCCTGTTTTTCTTACATATTCCATCCTCATACGGTTGTCTTACATCAAAGTATTGCTTGTCTGTATCATGCATCAATGAGTTCTGAAGAGTGATTTTATTCTTTTGTGTTGTGGGTACAGCTTGACATGGCAAAGTCAAAAAAGAGCAAGAAAAATAATATAATAAGGAGTGTTGTTACTCGTCGGGTGAAACGGAAAAGGCTCTGCCATCGAGATTCTGCTGGTACTTATAGTGCAGTAGAAGGTCCAAGTCCACCGGCTAAATCTACAAAACAGTATCACTTGCTCCACCAGCTGCAGCATCCGCTTCAACTGTACCAGCATCTCAACCAGTTACTCGTTCGTTTGCTCCAAAACTGGTCAGTTCCCAAGCTGCCTTCACACCTAACACTACTTCCGAAGCACTGTTGACACAACATGACTTGGCAAAATCAGATGAACCTCATGAGCATCAACACCAAGACGGTACCTGACCGAGTCAAGTTGCAGTTGCATGCTTCTTTATATGTACTCTCACAGTTTGATGTACACTAACACTTTTCATATTCGTTGTTGAACTAGCACCATGGCGCAAGCGGAAACAGACATCAGAGATAATGCTTGACAGATTAACAAAATCTAAAGGAGGAAGAATGGAGTTCCATTTTGAGGCGGGTTTAAAAAGGCCACGTGATGCTACAGAGTCAGCCAAGTTAGTATCAGAGGCAGCCGTTGCCGTTGCCGTTTGATGTGTATCCTCCCAACGTGGATCCAGTACAGGAATGAGAAAGACAATACCCAGTTTAACACCTTCCTTGACCATTTATCTGTAAGTAATGTTATTCATCGCAATTAGTAATATTGTCTTTCTCTGTCCCATACTTTCTAGCTTCCTCCTAATAAGACTCACATTCTTTTTTCAATAGATGAGGTTCAAGTTGGATCCGAAAGATGATGCAACTAAACAAGCATGCACTCATGTTTTTCAGTCTGCTCTGCGACAGTATCGGTACCACCTTAGAAAATCTCACTTTGAAGGCAAGGCTAACAATGAATTCGCCCAAACATCTCCAGTGGAATATATTACAGACGAAGACTGGACAGCCCTCGTTAAACACTGGTCTGATCCAAAGTATCAGGTAGGCTATATGTATTTGATCAGACCACATATTCAACTTGTATTTATGTATGTGCCTTACAAGTGTATCTTCTTCTAGGCTAACTGTTTGAAGAACAAAACCAACCGTTCTAAAGTGAGATTCCAACAGACAACAGGATCTCGTAGCTATATTGCACACTGCGACGCTCTTGTAAATAGCTGCTACTTCCTTCTTTTTTTGTACCATATTATCATATCTATATTGACTTGTTCCAAATACAGCGGAAAGCCCGTGCGGACGAAAAAGAACCTGAACCGAATGCAGTGCAAATTTTCAAGGATTGCCACACCAGCAAGATGAAGGGCATGAGCACACCAGTTCAAGCCTTTGTTGTAAGTCCTTACTCCTCCTGCCTTGAACTGATTGGTACTGTGATGTGTTTATTTAATTACTTGGTTTGCAGCTAATGTCAGTTACTCTGTTCACTTTTATACACAATTGTCTTAACGTATCATTTCACCTTACATGATTTAAAAGAGATGAAGGATATTCTTTTGATCTTGATCTGTAATCTAGTTGTTATGTTCACGTGCGCACACAATGATAAAATAGCCTGCTTGTTTTATATCTGTTTGCCCATGATATGAATGATGTCATACTATGTTTATCCTACTTTAAACCATGTCTCTTTATCCTTAGATGTCAACGAATGTGAGAAAATAGACAATACAGTAGGCATGTTACATGGACATATATTCCAAAAATGATTTTATTATGTAGTTGGCACTACAATACATGCTAATGTATTACAGTAGTTCACCAAAATAAGTTATGTATAACCGTTTAACCTACTTTGTTTGTTTTTGTCTCATTAGTAACTCACTGGTACACTAATCTACAAGTTCAAACTTTCAGAAAGCTTTGGAACAAATGATTGAACAGCCACAACCACCTGAAGGTGACGAGGCTACTACAGACACAATGTCACCTCTTGCTGCAGTGCGTCAGTATCTCTCCACTAACAGTGCAAAAAACACCTTCCTGCGTAATTCTGGGTTGGTTGTCAAGGTAACCTTGTCCAAATCGCCTACTAAACAAAATCTTCCTGCTAGACAGAGTGATATATCTGTGCTCCAAACACAAGTCCAATCCCTAATGGACGTTGTTTCAGAAACAAGAATAGTGGTTGAGAAATGCGGTCAAGATATGAATGGTTTTGAAACCAGACTATCAGACATTCGCTTCGTTGTTGAAGAGCAATGGCGAAAAAAAGGTGAAGATCGTGCTGCTCCATCAGATTCTAAAGCCTGAAACATTAGCACTCAAGTCAAATGATTTGTGCTTTTATACATTTGATGATGCTTTTATCTAGAAAGACTTTAAACTTTATGCCAACAGGCCTTTTGTTGTATGATTGGAATTTATTTTGTTGTGATACAACATTTATAATGCTGCCACAGGCTACAGTAATTATGATGCTATTTTTGTATAGTGTAGGTTTATCTTAATAATATATTCGGACCGAAGCTTCATAAGAGCCCAACATGCCAACATTCGTCAGGCCCATTTCAATTGGGCTAAAAACGATTACGGGCCGAAATTGGCATTTAAATCTAACAGTTACTTACCACCTTATTTTAAAAGATATTTAGAAGAACACAAAAGAGATGTTTCAGGACATACTCTCTATAGATATCAACACCCGCAACTATAAGTGACTGGTGTAAGGTAGCAAGATAATGTGGCATGTTGGCTGCCAGCATCAGCTCCACACCACTGTCGTCTTTAAAGCGTTCAACAGTTGTAGAAATTGAATTTTCTTTCTGCAAATAACAAATAACAGTTGAGACCAAATATAACATATTCAGTTATCAAATAAGCTCATTAAACTCAAAGAAACAGAACAGGCTAACTTACGGTTGTAACGTTCTTGTGACTAAGGACATGTACTGGATAATCTCTAGATAGACGAAATGCAGAAAATTTGGTCTTTGAATATTCCTCCTTCCGTTCCGCCGCCGCCTTAAAAACATCTTCAAACACAGGAACCTTATCCAAACTTGTTTCAAATTCATTGGGGGCCATTGCCTGATTTATGCATGTGTTCCACTTATTCAATTCATCTCCCAGAAGTCCGTCATGTTTTCTCTTAAGGAGAATAGCAAATATTAGTCTGTCAAAGGACTCCATCAAACATACATGAGTCTCCAGAACTAACCGGTCATGCGGAAGTAAGACTGCTATTTGCAATGATTTTAATACCGTAAAAAGATTATCAAAGTAGGGAGGGTAAATTGAGACAAGCTTAGCAGTCTTGTTGGAAAAGTTCTTCTGAATGAAGAGAATGAGCTCATTCACATCCAGTTGCATGGATGGACCTTCCAAATTAGACACTGCGGCCTTTGAAATTCGCACCAATCCATTGACTACTCTGAAATGTTCATCCCAGTTTATTGTACCATTCCAAGACTTGCGCTTGGCAAAGGTATACGTGAATGCACAAATTAAAGATCTAATAAACAAGCAACCCGCTCTTGCTAACTCCAAGGAATACTGGCCATCAGGCATTCTCACCACAACCATCATCTTATTTTTGTTGTCTGCCACATATTTCGTAAATGATCTGCAGTTTAAGTGAATTGATACTAAGGAATTAAAATAGAGAAAGCACACTATTGAAAGTGTAACAGCAATGCCAAAATGATAAACTAAATGAAGAAATAGAGATTAGTGGTACTTACATTCCACCTCGGATCCTTCCTGAAAGCTTGATGGTGCAATTGTTTAACACACCATAAGATCTCAGTGTATGATCGGGGTGTATAACTTTCAGCCATACCAGAAATACATATCAGCAAAATAATTCCTTGTTCTAGTTCGAAGTGTGTTCATCATGAGCTTCGAGGGTTCATCCAACTTCACCTGCAGTGATAAGGTTGGGCCCCCATGCCTAATGAAAACCTGCAGGATGTCATCATGATTTTTGCTCTATTAGTAAGTTGACAAAAAAACATACTCCCTCCGTCCGGAAATACTTGTCAGAGAAATGGATGTATATAGACATATTTTAGTTCTAGATACATCCATTTTTATGCATTTCTTCGACAAGTTTTTTCGGACGGAGGGAGTACTTTAGATCTCTACTGGGTTAATCAGGCTTTTTGATGGCTTACATTTATTTCATCTAACAGGTTAATACCATTTGTCCCTGAATCAGACTCCACTGCATGCCCATCTCCATTTTTTGAGTTCGAGGAGCCACAATCATGTGAAAATGAACAAGAGTTGCCATTTTTACAACCCTGATCATAAGGAACAACACAACAGAAACATGTTAATTCATGCCCATCTAGTTCTTAGATATACGCATGCAGTTCAATAGAACACAGACAGCTCAATACAAACTTTTCTTAAAGAAGTGCAAGCTGGCATACAGTGTTAATGGCACTTACTGTGTTCTAAGAAAATTCATTGGACTGGTTATATCAACACTGTTTTGTTCATAGTCTCACGAATGAGTTGCCGTGAATTAATTGATAGGTTATAATAAGTCAAAACATTAAACTCAAAGGAAAAACGCATGTGCACACTCACACATATGCTGCAATACTAATAACATAACCCTGCCAATTATGAATTGTAATGCAAGTGACATCAGCAAACGAAATGAGAAGAAAAAAACTTCTGCAATATGGTACCTGTAATGTAAGGAAGAACTTGCATACTGGTTTGGGGACACGAGACGATTGGGAAGGACACGTAACATCATCATCTGTTGAAAAGAAACAGTTAACCAAAACCAGTATTGCTTAAATTATTTCTTGGAAAGCATTTGCAGTATGCAATTTTAGTAGTAGTTCACCACACAAATTTTGTTTTTCAAAAAGAACTGCTTGGCTTACTAGGCTACTCATTCTACTATTTCAGAAAGAATATATGCATCTTACATGTATTCAAAGTAATATAGGAGTATAAACTACAGTAAATAGTGCAGTAGCAAGAAATGCAATAATATATTCATACATAAGTACTCTACATCATTCCTCCATTATATGTCGACTGATCATGAAGTCGGAAAAGACTCAAAAAGGGTAAACGGAAGTTGTTAAATGAAACTAGACAAGGAAACTTCAGAAAAGAAGAGTCTCCAACAAAATAAAATGAAGAGCAAATCTAGTTTATGAACCTTTTAAGTAAAATCGCAATCCCAGAAGATTGACTATTAGAAAGTCTCAGCTTCTACCACAAACAAGGAGAAGGAAATTCGTCAAAGAAGAGGCATTAGAAAGTCTCAGCTTCTGACATTAGACGAATAGAGCAACTAGGTTGTTCTTATGTTTAATAGCTGCTTCATTATGCTCATTCATGACTATATATCTTTTGTTACAGTAATGGCAACTCGACCAAATAAACGGTGAAGGAGCTGGCACGTACAAGCATTCTCATAATATTACAAAACAAAAACATTCTAATACCTTGCAGTGTAGTGCTACAAACAAAGAGGGAAAGATAACGGATTTCAGGAAGTCACACGCTTAATCAAGTGACAATTTCAAATAGAAACAGTAGTTCCCCTGACAAAATTCAGTTAGAATTTTGCATATATAGTGAAGCGGAGGAGAGTCCTTAGTAACATAGATGTAGTACTCCGTACTTTTTCCCCCCGAAGAAATGTAGTACCATGTCTAACAGCTGATTCACTATATATCCTACTTTCTCAGCCCATTGCAAGTCTAAAAACAAAAATAGCAGGGGGTCACTATAATACCTAGTACTACATACAAGTAACAGAGAACGATGCTATTCAAGAAGTTAAACACAGAGTTTCTTCAGTCTTGAAGCTGAACCTTACCCAACTCCCTTGGAACCACAATAAACTCATGGATGGAATACCTGATGTAGTCTTTGCCTTTGCATAGTGCTTGGCGGAATAAATTATTGGAATTTTTAAATCAGTACAGCTTGTACTGGTATCTAAGTTAAAGTTCAATGGATGTGTCTAAACCATCTAACACCAGGCAATTAATTTTAGGAAAAAAATACATGTACTCCTATAAGAGGCATGTTATGACGAAGGAATAAAAAATCATTATAAATTTGGAATCCTTGGGCAATAGCAACCGTTGATTCTAGCGGTACTAGCTGGAGTATAAGACTCAACAATTCTGTCGATGGCATATTGTAGTGTATATGGGGCTACAGTGTTGATTACAATGTCTTGCATTTATTGAGAAAAAATATACTATGGCATGTAGTAAAGCTGTGTAAACATCACTTGCACCTCTTAGCAGGCACATGACAGAAAAAAAAAGTATGTGTAGCAGTTTACGATCTTACTCCATCCGTTCACAAATATAAGATGTTTTGGATATTTCATCAATACGGCTTGCATATGGACTGAAATGAGTGAACACGCTGAAACATGTCTATATACATCCAATTCAGAAAAAAGTTAGAACATCGTATACGTATTTGTGAACAGAGGAAGTACTACTTCAAATGGAAGCTCAGAGCAAGCATATAGACCTATATGTCCAGTGCCTAAGATAATGAAGCTTAAAATGTAGTATATTGAAATGTTGGACATATGGTAAGGCAAAATTGGCATTTTTAACTAGCATTAGCCATCGTTCAGCAATTGGTGACTCTGGTGAATCATAAAACCTCTCCACACAAGACCACTAGAACATTGAAACTCGAAGTGCTTTACTCTAAAAGCCCCAATATGAGAAGCCCATTACACTTATCAAACATAAGCCCTCCCTGCAGCATTAACAAAAACAAGGTAAACTAACATATCCTGGAAGTTGGACGCTCGCATATGTTCTCTCCGACAAAAAACTGAGATGTTAGAAAATCAGACACCACGTCATACATCATACACCTCTGATCTCTCACAATGTTACACACCAAACACAACATTTCCAACCACTAACAAGAATGTACAATCAAAGAACGTAGACGGCAGAATTACGATTATTACCTGAACAGGGAGTCCGTGGCAGCTGCCAAGCATGAACGAAACGGGTGCCCACGTGCTGGCTAGGTGGGGCAACCAGCTCGTAGACCTCACACTCCACAACCTTGCGAGCACGCACGTCCACGCCGAGCAGGTGCTCGTCCAGAAAGAAGTAGACCACGTCGGGGTTCGTAGGGTGGATGGGCGCAAGCACGGGGATCTTCCTGGGCAGACCAATCGCCTTGTAGCTTGCGTCGTCCCAGATCTCTGTAAAGGTGGCCTCATACTCCAGCGTCCACTCCGTGGAGTCCGGATCGGCGAGCGTCCAGACGCCGATCTGAGCAGAGCCGCCGCTGTTACGGTTGCTGTACATGTCGACGAACCGCAGCTTGCCGCCGCTGACAGCCACGCAGCGGTACTTGTCGAGTAGTCCCCAAGCTTCCCTCGATTTGAGCGCCTTGCCCTCCGGAAGCGGGACGACCCTCAGCACCGGCGCGTCGGCGAAGGGGTCGCACGTGAGGAGGCACCAGGAGAGGTCGACCCACCAAAGCCTCCCGGAGTGCGAGACCACGCCATTGGGGCTCAAGGGGCGGGATGGAAGCGGGTAGCGGACGTCCTTGGTGACCCATTCCCCGGCTTCAGAGGAGAAGCAGAGGAGGTCGGCACGGTCGCCGCCGAGGATCATCTGGAGCTCAGCGACCATGTAGTGGCCGGCGTCGGCTGGGGAGGCGATGAGGCCGAGGTGGCCCGGGTGCATGATGTACTCGGGATTGGGAAGCGGGAGGGCGGACGCGGATTTGGCGTCGAGGACGAAGTATCCCGCGACGTTTGGGCGCCAGCAGGACTCCCGGCGGCTGGGGAGGTCGATGACGGTGGGGCCCTTGGCGGGGCCTTGGTCGGCATGGAGGAGGAGGAGGCCGGAGGCGTCGACGGCGCGGACGGAAGGGAAGCTTCTGGAGGTGGTGCGGCCCGGGAAGATGCGCGGGGGGATGGTGAGGATCGCAACGCGCGGTGGCTCCGGCAGCGCGAGGGAGAGGTCGGCGCCCGGAGGGAGGTCGGCGTCGGCAGCCAGCACCCGCGGCACGCTGCCCAGGATGGCCCACGACGGCGAGGCGGAAGCCATCTCGGCACTCGGCTTGGAGCGGTGGCGGGTGGCGACGGAGGGAAGCAGTGGTGGGTAGGGAAGCCGGGGACGGGGTGGTGGCAGGCTAGGGTTTTAGGAGTTGGGGTAGGGGGAGGGTGGATGGGATTTGGGTTGTTCGTACTACGAGTTTGAATGCTTTCGCATCGCGTAGACCGCGACGGTAATGGAGGATGGACAAAGCGGAGGACGAGGCGTTCGACCAACCGTCTTTCGCGGAAAACTTTTTGCTATGGGGATGGAAGGGGACGGAGCGGCTGATGAAACGGGAAGAGATAGGCAGTACTGCAGCGCAGCGCAGAGCAGAGCTGGCAGCCTTTGACCGGCGCGGCCGAGTGCTCGTAGCGTTCGCGTCCATGTAAAGCAACGTCCATCGATGCACTCAAACTATCATCGAGGGGATCCAACGCCCCCTCTCTCTCTCAACATCAAACTCTTGTCTCTCGATGAAAACCTTGTGTGTGATGATGTGCCTGGCCGTGGAGT